GAGATGCTGGGGGCTGTTATCCTTCCTGTCACTGTTGTGACAGAGTCCGCTCTGGTGACTCCTGGAGAACAAGGAAGGAGGGAGTCCAAGAGACTGACTGAGCAGGGACAAAGGGTGGGACAAGACTACTGTGACAAAACTGGCCAGTGGCAACAGACCTCTGTCTGATCTTTCCAGTTCAACATGTGGGAAGCCCAGAGAGAGTAAGGCTTTTTTTTTTTTTTTCCTCAAGGTCACACAGCCACTGGTGCTGGGAGCAGACCTGTTGGCTTGGGAGGGGAGGGGAGGGTCTGGGTGGTGTGTCTCCCCCTCCCCTTTGTGAAGAAGGGATGTGATCATTTATCAGGGGAGTTTAATAATGAATGAAGTCCAAGTGTCTCTAATGCAGGCAGCAGGCCTGAGGTAATAAAGGACCCTGTATTAATTCAGAAGTTAATGAATATGCAGGTGTGTCTGAATGATTAATGGGGCTCCCGAAGGCCTTGGAGGGGAGGTATTGAGCTGTTGCTGGTGGAGTCATGAATATTGCCTATATCTGGGAAGCTTTATGAACTTGGGCAGGTGGGCATGGATGAACCGGGGGACCACAGTGACCAGAGCGCAGGAGACGCCTGGGCAGATTCTCAGCGTCATGCCCAAACAGAGTCTCACTTTCTTGCCTGGTTGTCTTGAGCAAGTCAGCTAGCTTTGTGGGCCTCCGTGCCTGAGATGCAGGTTGAAACCAGCAAGCTAATGGCTGGCTCCTGGGGTCCAGAGGACCAACTGGGTCAAGCCCTGGGCTGAGGCAGGCTTGGGAGATAGGGGGTTGGGCTGATCCAAACTGGTGAACGATTTGAGAAGAGTGGGCTGTGAGGGGAGCTAGGCAGACACCCATGAGGCCCTGGGTTCAATCCTGGGTGAGGGGGGAACACGAGGAAAAGAGAGATGGATGTAGATGAGAAAAGACTGGATAGCATTTTACAGTTTATATAGGGGGCGGGGGCCTTTGGCCAACCCTTTGCCTCTCGTAGAGGCTGCGTGGGGTCGGGAAGGTGGCCTGGAGGATGCTGACGTGAGTGGGCTCTGAGAGGTCCGGTTGCTGGCAGTGAGGGGCAGTGAGTGAGAGGCAGGCTCGAGTCCTCACCCTGTGACTCAGAGGTCACGAGGACAGAGCTCGGATGGGTGCTCAGAATCTTGGCCTAGGGGGTGGGGAGGGGGGTAGCCTTTGGGCTCCCCTACTTCTCTGCCTGATAGGCGAATCCATCTGTGAGTTGAGATCTCCACAAGACCCTACTCCTTCCCAGTGCATTGGCCTCGGGGCTTCTGGACTGCAGCCACTGCTGCTCAGAGCTGTGTTTATGACGAGTTCCTATGCTCTTGTCTCAGATCCCAAGCCGTGGCTGTCTCCTCTCAGCCTCGCTCCTCCTACCCTTCGAGTGCTCCTGTCAGATATGGCTGATATCCTGAGCATGCAGGGCCTGGTGCTGGTAAGGTGCCAGGAGACGCATCTTCCTCCTCTGACCCACATCTGGCTGTGGGCACAGCACCCTCGGAATCAACCTGTGGCGCCGTTTCCATCCTTCACATCCAGAGTGGGCTCGGAAGCCGAGCTGGGTTCTGCTGCACCCCGGATTTCGTAGGGGGGGTTCAGGCCGGCCCCCTGGCTTTATCCCCAATAAAGCCCTGCCTCCTCACCTGCAAGCCGGGATGGACCCAGAGGGCGAAGGGCACCGCAGGGCACGGCCCCCCACGGCTAGCTCTTGTGACTCCAGCTCCTGACTGTAGAGGCTGTTAGAGAGCCAGAGCTCTGGCCCCTAGGTCTCTCCACACTCCTAGGCAGTGAGCAGATCACAGCCTTGGACCCCTTTGGCTGTGAAAGAGCGAGTTAGGTCGGGGAAGCCTCGTTTGTCTCTTTTGCTTCCTGGGGCTCTGGCCTGGGCCCCAGGGGCCTCTCCCAGCCAACCCTGCTGGGGTAGAACTCGGTTGACTTTGGTGCTTTCTACCCTGGTGTAGCTTGCTGTGACAGACATGGAAACCAAGGCCCAGAAGGATGGCGGCTACGGGGCAGGGTTGGGGTTGGGGCCCTGTGGGGCCCACTTAGCTGTGTATTTATAGACCCCACTGATCTATATTAACTCCGGGCCTGCTCAGGCTACGGCAGCCAGGGATCTGAGGACTGCTTTGAACCCTCTGGGGGAGCTGCTGTATCTGAGCTTGCCCCATGGGGAGAGGCGAGCAGGGGTGAGCCCTCTTCTCACCTCACCCTTCTGCGCCCCGGGGCTCCTGCTGGGTACTTGGCTTGCATAGTGTTTAGCTGCCTGGGCAGAACTGGGGCCACCCTCAGCGGGGCGGGGGGGTGGGGGTCCGTATCTTTGTCCGAGGATTGTCGTGCCTTGCTTCTTCTAGCTCCGAGGGGAGACTGCCTATTCAGCATGGGATCCAGGGGAGCCCCGCACCCCAAGCCTCAGTCCTCACAGCTGTAGAATGGGCACGATTTCCCAAGCAGCTCACAGGCATCAGGTGCCGAGTGCTCACAGCTCCTAAGCTGGAGGCTGCCATGTGCACGCCTCCTGTATCTCTTCTGGCCCTTGTCACCTGCTGGAAAGGACCAAAGCGTCACCTCTAGATGGGGCCTGTGAGGCCCTAGGGGCAGCATGACTTGAATTCAGACTCACTTAAGTCTGAATGTTTTCCCTGTCCTCAGGACCCTCTCCAGGGCCCGTGGGGTCCTTGGTGGTGGTGGTGGGGTGTGACTGACTTCCTCCCCCAACAGCTTGGTCCAGCCCCTGGTTGCCATGGAAACAGCTCCACTAACTCTATGCTTCTCTTCCAGAGCAGAGACGACTGGCCGCCCTGAGTGCAATTCAATTCAACAGACATTTACTGAGTGCCTACTATGCGCCAGGCCTTAGGCTAGGCACTGGGGGAACACAGAGAGGAAAGTGTGTGGGGGAAGGTCCCGTTCTCAGATAGCTCTGGTACCAGGAGAGAAGCCTTGTGGAGGGCTGGAGCAGCAGAGCCCGGGATTCAAGTACATCACAGGAGGGCTGCTGTTTATCTATGCCTCAGTTGGCCCACCAGTAACATGGGAGGGCAAGGCTGGGAGCGAGGCTTTATCCAGGATCCCACGGGCCACTCATTGGGGAGTGGGGTAGAGCAGGAAGACCATCTCTCTCCTGCAGGCTCTTCAGAGAAGGAGCTGAGCTCCAGGCCCCAAGGTAGGGGGACAGATGGGAAGAGCTTCTCACTCCTCAGGCTCAGGAACAGCATCAACAAAGATCTGGAAGACATGGAGGTGGGGGTGGGGGGTGGCTGGGCATCCCAGAAGCTCTGAGGGGCTAGAGAAGGACATGGTAGGGTGTGAGCTCAGAGAAGGTGAGAGGGTTTGAGTCTGTGAGTTCTGTTTGGGGCAGTGGCAGCCATGATGGGCTCTTGAGGATGTGTCTCACCCTTCTCCTCCCCCTGTCCTTGGAGCACCCATAGAGCCAGTGGCCATGTAGTTGATGTGACATCTGTGTTGTGCTGGGCATGTCACCGTTAGTCCTTACCGCTGCCCCTGGAGGTGGGTATTTGTGGGCCTAGGTCACAGGGTAGCACCTCAGGCCCAGAGAGGGAAGCTCCCTGTCCAAGGTAATGATCCGACCCGAACCCACCTATACTCCTAACCACTATCTCTTGTTGAGGGCGTCCTGCCCTCTGTGTGGCTTTCCCACCCTGTCTACCCCAGTGCCCCGATGTATTCCTAAGAACCACGGCAGGAAGGCACCCAGATGCCGCTAGTCAGACCGTGGGCTCGGCAGCATTCCTTAGAGACCAGCATAGAGGTGGTAGTCTCCTTCTCATTTCACATGGGTAGACTGAGGTTCAGGTCCAAGGTTAGACTCGGGAGTGCCAGCCTGGGCTGGGACCATGTCTCCTTAGCAGCAGCTGAGGCTTTGGGGATTGTTGAATTGCCCACCCTGACTGTGGAGAAGCTGTTCCCCTGAAGCCTCAGTCGAGAGTGCAAGGGACTCAGGCCTTGGGTCTGGGTTCAAGTCTGGGTGTTTGCCTCGCATGACCGTGTGATGGTGAGACACCATTAGCCACTCTGAGCCTCGGTTTCTTTATCGTTTGGTGGGAGGGCTGGATTTCCTATCTGGTGAGCAGCGGTAGATAGTTACAGAACACCTACGGAGGCCTGGTGCTGGCCAGGCTGGTGGGGAGGCTCAGAACTGGGCCTTCCTGGGAAAGCTGAGTCTGAGGGGAGACGTGTCAGCTAGGATTCTGATAGAGATGGAGAAGGACAAAGCCCAGGGGCTGTAGGGACCCACAAAGGGCACCCTAGCCAGGTGAGGAGAGCAGGTTTCAGGCCCCAAAGGGCCACAGGGGCTGGGTCCTGGGTGTGCTGGAATTTCCCCAGATGAGCCAGGAGCCAGGAGCCAGGGAATCCTTTTCCATTAGGGGAGGCCACACTCAGATTTATGTTCTAGTAAGTTCTCCTTTTGCCAGGTGGAGGACAGATGTGATGAGTTGGCAAGCTTGGGGGCAGGCGCAGCGAGGCTGCTGAAGGAGTGGAACACAGCTGGACCAGTGGGGATGGTGGGAATGGAGATCCCTTACAACAGGGAGCTAGAAAGAAGCTAGACAGGGGGTGGGGGGGGGGGGCGGGGGGGGGGGGGAGAGTGTTCTTCCAGGTGCCAGGGAGGGGACAGGCAGCTGGGACAGGGCTGTTGGAGGTTGGGTAGATTATGATGGAGACCGCAAAGTATATGCTAGGAACCACAGAGATGACCAAAATGTGCCCTGGGACAGGAGACAGGCTGGAGAGGACCCGTGAGATGGGGTGGCACCCCAGGAAGGCTTCTGAGGAACAGGGACATAGCGGGGGGGGGCGGGGGGAAAGCCAGCCATGCTGTTCCTCAGACTGGGCTGGCTGTGTTTCCGCAGAGGGAGGCATAAGTGGGTGTCAGATCATGGGTGGCAGGAGGGTCAGGGAAGACAGAGCCCTTAGCTCAGCCCTGGGAAGGGGAGGGGTTTGGGACAGGAGTAAAATATTTGCATGGGTAACAAGGCTGGGATGAGGGAGAGAGAGAAAGGGGGAGAGAGATGAAAGGAAATTACCATACATCAGGATCTTGTTATTCAACCTAATTTTCAAAGGGGCACAGCTGTCGCGCTGAGATAATCCGTTAATTATAACAGCCATTGTGCTTTGGCAATGGGAGAGAAACCGAGGCTGGGTACAGGCTTGAAGGCTGGGGGTGGGGAATGGCCTTTGAGGGTACAGGACTTCAGAGAGGGGCCAGGGAGAGAGGCAGAATGGGGTGCTGGGCTCTTGGGACCAGAGGGAAGAGCAGGTCAGGGACCAGGTCGAAGCCTCTGCATGGCCACTGTCAGCATGGAGGTGATGAGGCCAATTGCTTGCCAGTTGGTGCTGTGCTCCTGGAGCCAGTCTTTAGAACCCTCCAGAGCAGTTAACTTTATTGAGCAGTTACTATGTGCCAGACCCTGCTTCCTCTCTAGCTGTTCCCTACAGTGAGAGCCCTTCCTGTCTCATTTCTTTTCAGAAGAGGAAACACCCAGGAAGGTAGCTTGACAGGGCCACTGAGTGAGGTAGCTGGCAGAGCCCCGTGTAGTCAGAGTATGGCCCTGAACTTCCAGGATAGCCCGAGAGACAGGTCTCACCGAGTGAGTAGACACAGGAGCGTCCATGATTTAAGGCACGTCATCACCCAGTGGTCACGGGTGGCCCTCCCCCAGTGGCGTTTCCGGGGCCCTGGGTGTGGACAGAGCCTCCTTGTTCTCTGGGCTGCAGCTGCAGGCCCCCTGCGGCCTCCAAGGCAGCCTTCAGTCTGGCCCCCAATCCCCGGAGCATCTACCATCAGGGCCAGGAGAGGGCGTTCCACACCATCTCTGGTGGCACCCATGCTGGCCTTTGTGACCACCTGCTTGGAGGTAGGAAAGAGACAGAGAGCTGCCTCAGACCTGAGGGGGGGGGATTCTTAGCCCCAGCCTTGTGTGTGGGAATGTCTCAGGGACCCTGGGTGTTGGGGGCCCGGGAGAGGCAGCCAGTCATGGGAAGGAACCCCAAAGTCTGGCTGCCCAGGACCCCCCAGCCATTTGGTCCGGACTTGTCTCATGATTCAGACTTAGACCTGATGTCCATGCAGCCTTGACCAGAAACTCAACTGAGGCCAGCTGGCAAGGTGGGGGTGGGACTTGGGGGTCTTATTCCAAAAATTCAGCTGGAAACCCCGGTGTGACCCAGAGACCCAGGTAGCACTGTGGAGGGCAGATGAGAAGGAGAGGTCCTCAGAGGGGCAGCAGGTATGGGAAGCTCTGAGAATTCCCCTGCTAAAAGCCAAGGAGGGGCCCGGGCAGGGTTACTGTCCTGAAGAAGAGATGAGTCCTAGCTCAGGCCCAGATGTAGTGGACTGGCAGGAGCAAAAGAGCCAGAGATACAGTCTAGAACTCCAGACTCATTGGAGACTCCCAAAATGACAGCCTCATGCTGCTAATGCCCTAGAGTTCAGAGACCCAGAGCCACTGTGGCACACTGTGATGGTGTCGGGTTGGGATGGAGGCCAGGGTGGAGTATGTGGGCCAGGAGCCTGCTGGCGGGTCCCCATGCACACTGCCGTAACTGCCTCCACTCCGAGAGCCCTTCTATTGTTTACCTCACAAACTATAGGGCCAAGGGGTCAGGGCAACAGCCAGGGAGGACAGAGCCTCATGCTTTGCTGTACAGCAGGCAGGGCCACGGCTTACCTCATTGTCCGCTGGTGCCACCGGGTTCCAGAAACAGGGATGCTCTAAAGACGAAGGCTCCCGAGCTCTCCGCATTGCCAGCTAGCTAAAAACAAAATGTAATTACTGTCCAGATGAAGCAGGGTCCCCTGGCAGTGCATGAGTCAGAGCCTGGGGCCGAGGAGGGGAAAGCTGCTCCACAGCAGCTGGAGACCTTGTGCCCGACTCTGCTTAGCAGGGATCCGAGATGCATAGGCTCGGAGGCCTGCTTCCCAGCATGAGTGAGCTTCTCAGCCGGGACCAGCTGCTGCCTTTTCTGCCCGTGTATTCCCTCTGACAGGCCGGGCTGCCCCGGTGGGCTGCATGCTCCAACCTGGGGACTCCGATTCCCCGCAGGGGTCCCCTGACACACCGCCCTGCCTCGGGGTGACCCTCAAGATAATCAGGATAATCGGAAGGCAGGAGAATGTTCACCTTTGGGACCCGGGAGGAGGGGCAGGCTGTGCAGGCAGAACCAAGAGGGTGGGCCTAGCCGGTGCCTGGTACATAGTAGGTGTTCCATAAATGTTTATTGAATGAATGAATGGAGGCCATGCAGGCAGAGGCAGCGTGCGCGCGCAGGCCCTGTGCAAGAGCGGGTCCAGTGGAGACCGGTGAGTAGCACCCAGGGGCTGCCGCTGAGCCGACTGGGGGAGGAGAGGCCAGGCAGGAGAGGGCAGGGGCAGCATGGGTGGAGAGGCCAGGCTGGGAGTGGGCAGGAGCAATAGGGGCAAAGAGACCAGGCGGGGAGACAGGAGAGGCTGGCGGGGAGAGGCCAGGTGGAGAAAGGGCAGGGTCAGGTGTGGGGAGGGGAGGCTAGCTGGGGAAGGGCAATATACAGTGGGGGGAGGTAGAGCCAGCACTGGAGACGGGTTCCGGGGGAGGAGAGATGCTGTGAGGATGGGGAAGGAGGGAGACAGTTCCCTGAGCAGGAGGGTTCTGCGAGGGTCAGGAACTGAGCCGGGTAGTGCTAGCATGGACTTCCCCACAGAACCACCTAAGGGCCACTGTGTCTGGAGCCTTAGGTAGGCTGGGGCTGGGATGGGCAGAAGCTGGGCCAGGCCAGGTACTGCAGAAATGCTCACAGGCCAGGGCTTGGCCTCCCTGGCAGACTGGGGGCAGTGGCCAAGCCCCAAGGCCTTGTAGCAGTCCTTGACTTTCTGCCTGCAAGCTGCTTGGGGGTCTGGCTGTGGTTAGTGCTGGGATGTCTTAGGAACAGGGACAATGTAGAGAGACCTATGAGCTGAGAGGGAGACACATGGGTAGAGTCCAAGAGACCCATGTGCATCGCTGTTCTCTGAACCAATGGAACTGAGGCTCAGAGATTGCGGGCCTTGAAGGAGAAACCAGCTCCCCAGACCTCATTGGCCCAGAGCTGACATTCTTCCAGGATAAGGCTCCATCTCTGCTAGGCCCTTCTTGGTTATTTCTCTGGCCAAGAGTTCCAGGCTCCACACACACACTGTGTCTGTGTCTGTGTGTGTGTATGTGTGTGGGAGGACGTCTTTTTTGGCTCTGGAGGCCTGGCACAGTGCAGAGACAGCAAGCTGCGTCTACTGGGACAGAGCAGGTACAAGAGGAGTCCCTGCAGGGTGTCGGGAGGCGTGGTGCCCAGAGGGATGGCGCGTTCCTCACCCAGGCCTGCTCTCTCCTCCCTGTGACATGGCATGGGGCAACACAGAGTGGGCGCCGAGGCAGAGGGCAGAGGCCAGCTCCCCCGGGGACGCAGAGCAGCTGGGGTGTGGGCTGAGACTAATGAGACGTGATTGAATGGGGTGGATGAAACCCAGCACCTTGGGTGAGACAGAGACAGGATGGCCTTCAGCTGTCCTAGATGCTCTGAGGGTGTCGGGCTGTGCGCACACGGGGTCCCCGGGGCTTGGGTGACATCTAGGACAAGGTGAGGGCGACACTGACACATGCTCCTTCCGCACTGGCCAAGGTAGGAAGCCAAGCCTGGTGGAAATGGTGGCTCAGGCAATATTGGGTCTTGCTGCTAGGTTCCAGGTAGCCCAACTGTAGGGAGGACCTGGGGTGGCCGAGCTGACACCGTGGTTTGGGGAGGGACAGAGAGGGCACAGCAGCAGGCACCTGCCGAAGAGTCTGAAGCAGCCCCTGCAGAGACCCCGCCAAGCACTCAGGCTGGCCTAGGTCGCTGGCTCTGTGACTCGGGCGTATTGCCACACCTCCCTGAGCCTCTGTCCCTTTGTCTGAAATGAGCAGTGTAAGGGGTTATGAGGCCAGGAGGGCTCAGGGCATTTCCTGACACATTGTAGGCCTTGTCCCCCGTACCCTCCCCATTGGTGGTGAGTCCTGACCTCTGACACCTGGCTCTGAGGAGTCAGCGGTTTCAGCCTCTCTTCCTGCTCCACCACCCAGCACCTGAGGTGAGCATGAGGCAAGCGTGGACGAGAGAGAGCCCTACTGCGTGCCATGCTGGGTGGTGGAACAGGGGAGTGGGTGGCGGCTCGTGTTTCGGTTGAGCACGGTCGGGTGAGCCCAGAGAGGGTGCTGAGCCTGCCTGTGTCACACACCTCTGTGTTTGATCTCAGAACTTTGCTTCCAGTGCCTGCACGTTTGTCTGTCCCCCTCAGGGCGCATCACACTTGAAATCCAGGTAACTTATCAACTTACCAGGCAGTTCAGTGGTGGCAGTACCATGTCCTGCTTCACGGGGGAGGAGCTGAAGGAGCCACGGCTGTTTGCTCTAGAAGCCTCTGGAAGGTGAAGGCAGCAATCAACTCTAGTGTCTAGCCCGGAGGCCCCGGAACTTAGCCAGCTTTGTCCCTGAAGGTGGAAGGATGGGGAGTGGCCCCGGGGGCCCAGTGCTGGCTTCTGGAAAGGGAAGGTGACATTGCTGTAAGGCCCGAGAGCTCTGGCTGGGCCTGAGTTGTCTAATCCAGACACAGTGGTTATGACTGAACCGGGGGAGGCTTGACCAGTCTGGCTCTGTGAGGAGTCTGTGCCAGGGCTGAGCTGCCACAAGTGATATTTCCTGATCTCTCACGGGTGACCAGGGCACCAGCCACACATTTCCACTTCCTGTCCCTGTCCCTTGAGCTGAGCGGTGTCCCAATGGGAGCGGGAAGCCTGGGGCCAGCATAGACAGGAAAACCCTTTTGTACAGGCATGCTCTGCTGTGTCCTCGGGGTTCCTGGCAGCCCCGGGCTCTAGTCATCTTGCCACATAAGAGGGGAAACTAAGGCTCAGAGAAAGCCTGAGGCTCACCAGGGTCACAACCGAAGGTTGTGGTTGTCAAGGTAGAAGCCATACCAGCCACACTGCTAGGCCTGGGCTGCCCTCCGAGAGGGCATGCCTGTGGGGTACGTTCACGGAGCTTCACAGGTGAGGGAACCAGGGTTCAGGCCAGGGCCTGCACCACAGGGAGTGAGCACTTGGCAAGAGCAGAGGGTCCCACTGAGACTTTGGGTTTGCTACCTTGGGTCTTGAGTCTGGTCCAGTTCTGAGGACACAGACCGTGTTCCATCTTTTGTCCTGGCCCCAGCTTCCCTCAGAGAAGACTAGAGTCCAGCGGAGCCTGGGTTCACCTCTTCCCTTTGCAGATGCCAGGATTCTGAGTCCCTGGAGGGAAACCATGCCTGGGGCACAACCCCAGCTGGGTCAGACAGTCTCTCTCCAGCTCCGACCTATCTCTCCACCCTCACCTCCCCCCTCCCCCTCCCCCCCAGTGCCCACTGGTGTCGCTGGCTTTCCTCCCTCCTTTCCGTCTAAGGATTCAGGGGAGGGGACATCACACCGGCTGCAGCTGGTTAGACTGCTCTTAGCCAATGCCAACTCGAGGATCTGAAACAAGTGCTCCCTGCCCGTGCTGTCTTATCTGTGTTGCTGAATGGCCCCCAAGCCGCCCTGGGGCCCAGCACCATCAAGGTCTCAGGCTCTGGGCCTTCACGCTTCCCTCCTCCCTCCGACATGCTCTAGGATTTGATTTGGGGCTTAGCTGGGTCCAGTCTCATCTGTCTCCTTGGGCCTTGCGGGGGTGGGGGGGAAGGCCGCAGGTACCAGTGTCACACTGTCACAGCCGAGCCTGTCACCTCTCTCCCTGTGGTCAGTCCTCTGTGGGAGGTGCTCCCCAGTCAGTACAGTTGTTTGTCCTGCCTCCAGGGTATGCTCGTGTGTTGGAGGGGCACCCTCTTGGGAGTGGGGTAGGCTGACCTTGCATATTTGACCCCTGAGACCATCACATCCACTCGCTGCACACCCGCACCTGTTTCGGGTGAACAGCTGGGCGGGGGCGGGGAGGAGTGCTGCTGTCAGCGCCTTGGCGGCCATGTCCTCTCCCTGGCTCCACCAGGCCTCAACGGGTGGCGGTAGGCAGACAGCCCAGGATGAGGACAGGGCAACTGACGCATGCGGGACACAGCGCTGGGAGCCTCCTCCCCACTGTGCGTCACAGGGACAGTAGGAGCTGGGCCCAAGCCCAAGCCATCCTCAGGAGCGGAGGAGCAGGAAAAGGCCACTGCAGAGTCACCTTGAGGGCTTGGGCGAAACTATGGAGCCTCTGCTTACCCTGGCCTGTCTTGGGAGGGGAGGGCCAGGGGGAAGCAGCACCTCTCCAAACCAGGGGCCCCTTCCATCCCCTCCCCCTGCCCGAACCGTGTTCTCCTCGGCTCCAGCCAGCCTAGTCCAGGCTGAGGTGATACTGTTTTACCTTGGATCTGAGGAAAGAAAGGGATTCTGCGTGTGGCTGAAGTTTTGAATGCATGCACATGCATGCATGAGCAACATACGTGCGCTTAAGTGGCATAGAGGGGGTGTGCAGTTGCCCGCATTTCCAAGGCCCCAGGCATGCATGCTTACAACCATTCCACAAGGCAGCATGTGTCCCTGTGGCTGACCATGGCTGCACACAGCCTGTACACACACACACACACACACGCACACAAGGTGTACACATCAGCGCCCTTTCATCTGTGCACTGAGTCAGTGGCACGCCTGTGTTTGTGTACCGGAATACCCATACAAATACCGATACCTCCCCAGACTCAGGAGGGGCTGCGGTGCAGAATGAGGGCTCTTGGACAGGCTGGTTCCTGTTTCTCAAGACACCGAGGGAGAGGACTTAACCCCTTCCAGGACAGCCTGGCTGCTGGTGGGAAACTGAGGCTGTGTGTCACGGGAGCCAGACTCTCTGGCTTGTGAGAGCTTTGTGTGGTACAGGTGAGGACGGGCGGATGGGCTGGCTCTTGCCCGGATAGCCTTGTGATGCCCACACTGGCCGTGCAGTGGGGAGAGAGGCGGGTCAGGCTGGCCTCAAAGGTCCCCATCCTGCTACAGAGCCAGCCTTTGGCCCAGGTTGGACCTTATCACCTAGCTCCTTGGCATGCTCTGCCGCTGGAGTGTTCTGCCTCCCTCCCTCTTCTCCTCTGCCGCTCACAGCTTTAAATTGGCTTCACTTTAACACGAAGTCTAGACGGTTTTTTTTTTTTTCCCCAAAGCGCTCTCTTTCCTGGAGTCTCCCTGGGGGAGGAGCAGGAGGTGGTGGCGGCTCTTGTGGACACTGTTATGGCTTTCTCTGGACAAATGAGGATTTCTCTGACCATCTTGTGTCCTCGCTGGAAAGTGCAACTGTCTAGGGCCTTTACAGTTTCTGGAGTCCGGAGCAGGGTGTGAGGAGCTGGGGCCCAGGTCTGGCTGTGTGCAGTTTGCAGGCTACCCAGCCAAACCTTCCCGGGGGCTTTGGGGGTTGGTTTCCTCATGAGACGATGAAGGATGGATCAGACGTGCGGTGGGCTGTGGCCCCCTGCTCGGGGGGTGAGCGGCCAGGTCACTGTGCTGCTTCCTATCAGATGGCCCAGGAGAGGCTTTCCTCTCAAGGTACACAAGTGCAGTGGCTAAGAGGCAGTGTGACTTACCCAGCTAGTCAGGATTTGTAGACGGGGCCTCCTGGCTCCCCGGGGATGCTCAGTGTCTTAGGAGCCAGGCTTTGCTGTGCTGCTTGGGTCAACGCTCCGTTCTTCCCTGAGCCTCTTACCCCAGAAGGGGACGTAAGGGTTTGAAACCCTACGTCAGTCCTGAGCCCCCTTGGGGCTCAGCATGCCCTCCTTGGGACTGCTCTATGAGGGAATGTGGCTAGAGTCCCTCACTCTTGCCCTCCTCCTGAGGCTTAGTGGTGCCCATAGGACCAGCCCTCCTCCGGCAGAGACCCTGGCCCTTGCACCCCCACCGCAAGGGAGGCCCACTGCCAGCACGTTCTGCTCCCCTCCCCCATGGAAGCTGAGACAAGGGAATTATTTTTGGAACAAGAGCAGTTACACAACAAATGAATTATTTATCTTTGGGCATGGGAGAATGAGGCATTTTGCCGGGCTTCTTAATTCTCATCCGGATTTGGGGTGCCCACCTGGATGTGTGGACATGTCTGTCATGTACACAGATGGTGTGTGTGTGTGTGTGCGTGTGTGTGCGTGTGTCCCTCCCATGTGCAGCCCATGGAGCTTTGTCTCTGTAGGCTTTGTGCAGGCCAGCAGTTCTGTGTGGACGCTGTGTGCTGGCTATGCCCTGGAAGGTGTCTGTGCACTCGTGTCCACCCGTTCCCCTCTAGTTTTGCTTCTCTGTCTTGATGCCCAGACTGCTTCTACCCCCACTGTAACCCTGCCCATGATTCTCTCTCCCTCGCCCTGCCGCCCCCAGCTCTCCCTTGCTTGAAGGAAGCAGGGGTCCCGGGGGACTTGCTGCTAGAGAGTCCTTGGTTCTAAAAGGGTATGAAAGAAGGGCGGTGGCCTATGCTGGATCCTGAAGGGGTGTGTCTGGGCCCTCACACTGATCTATCATCCTCTCTTGATGCCACCTTTCAGGAACAGATGGGCTTCTTCCTGTCTCCATCTCACTCACCATCCCTCAGCGTTGCACTCCTGGCTCCTGTGGGAACTGCCTGAAATTCTGAGCCTGGAACCCAAGGGGAAGGAGGAGGAAAGGGAGGAAAAGGAAGAAGTCGAAAGCTTGAGAACCTGAATACCTTTCCAGCGGGAGCCTGGAATCACAACGCCCGGTGCCTGCTTGTGGCCCTTCAGAAGAGCAGGCGCCAGCTGTGTCTCACTGGCCCAGGAACCCCGTGCTGGAGAGCACCCCCAAGATGGTGGCGGCTCCCAGGAGGACTGTGCCACCGGCCCCAGGTCCCTCTGGCTGCTAGGCCCCTCTGTGCTCCGGCCCTTGACGCCAGCTGGGCCTGTAAGGGGGCCGAAGCCCGGCCATGCTGCGCCTGGGGCTGTGCGCGGCGGCGCTCCTGTGCGTGTGCCAGCCGGGAGCTGTGCACGCTGACTGCTGGCTCATCGAGGGGGACAAGGGCTACGTGTGGCTGGCCATCTGCAGCCAGAACCAGCCTCCCTACGAGACCATCCCCCAGCACATTAACAGCACCGTGCATGACCTGAGGCTCAATGAGAACAAGCTCAAGGCCGTGCTCTACTCCTCGCTCAATCGCTTCGGGAACCTCACGGACCTCAACCTCACCAAGAACGAGATCTCCTACATCGAGGACGGTGCCTTCCTGGGCCAGACGAGCCTGCAGGTCCTGCAGCTGGGCTACAACCGCCTCAGCAACCTGACCGAGGGCATGCTCCGAGGCATGAGCCGGCTGCAGTTCCTCTTCGTCCAGCACAACCTCATCGAGGTGGTGACGCCCACCGCCTTCTCCGAGTGCCCCAGCCTCATCAGCATCGACCTGTCCTCCAACCGCCTCAGCCGCCTCGACGGCGCCACCTTCGCCAGCCTGGCCAGCCTGATGGTGTGCGAGCTGGCCGGCAACCCCTTCAACTGTGAGTGTGACCTCTTCGGCTTCCTCGCCTGGCTCGTGGTCTTCAACAACGTCACCAAGAACTACGACCGCCTGCAGTGCGAGTCGCCCAGGGAGTTCGCCGGGTACCCGCTGCTCGTGCCCCGGCCTTACCACAGCCTCAACGCCATCACCGTCCTGCAGGCCAAGTGCCGCAACGGTTCGATGCCCGCCCGGCCCGTGAGCCACCCCACCCCCTATTCCACCGACGCCCAGAGGGAACCTGACGAGAACTCGGGCTTCAATCCCGACGAGATTCTCTCGGTGGAGCCGCCAGCCTCCTCCACCACGGATGCCACGGCGGGGCCGGCCATCAAGCTGCACCAGGTCGCCTTCACCTCGGCCACCTTGATCGTCATCATCCCGCACCCTTACAGCAAAATGTACGTCCTGGTACAGTACAACAACAGCTACATCTCCGACGTCATGACGCTCAAGAACAAGAAGGAGATCGTGACGCTGGACAGGCTGCGAGCCCACACTGAGTACACCTTCTGCATCGCGTCCCTGCGCAACAACCGCCGCTTCAACCACACCTGCCTGACCTTCACCACTCGGGACCCTGTGCCCGGGGAAATGGCCCCCAGCACCTCCACCACCACGCACTACATCATGACCATCCTGGGCTGCCTGTTTGGCATGGTCATCGTGCTGGGGGCCGTCTACTACTGCCTGCGCAAGAGGCGTGTGCAGGAGGAGCAGAAGAAGTCCGTCAACGTCAAGAAGACCATCTTGGAGATGCGCTACGGCGCCGACGTGGAGGCCGGGTCCATCGTGCATGCCGCGGCGCAGAAGCTCGGCGAGCCGCCCGTGCTCCCCGTGGCCCGCATGTCCTCCATCCCCTCCATCATCGGGGAGAAGCTGCCCGCTGCCAAGGGACTGGAGGCTGGCCTCGAGACACCCAAGGTGGCTACCAAAGGCAACTATATTGAGGTGCGCACGGGGGCTGCTACGGGGGACGGCCTGGCCCGGCCGGAGGACGAGCTCCCGGACATCGAGAACGGCCAGGGCTCAGCCGCCGAGATCTCTACCATTGCCAAGGAGGTGGACAAGGTCAACCAGATCATTAACAACTGCATCGATGCCCTCAAGCTGGACTCGGCCTCCTTCCTGGGGGGTGGCAGCGGCGGCGGCGGGGACTCCGACCTGGCCTTCGAGTGCCAGTCTCTTCCTGCGGCTCCTGCCGCCTCCACGGCTGCCCCTCCCGGGGCGCTGGAGCGGCCCAGCTTCCTGTCGCCCCCCTACAAGGAGAGCTCCCACCACCCGCTGCAGCGCCAGCTGAGCGCCGACGCCGCGGTGAGCCGCAAGACTTGCAGCGTGTCGTCCAGCGGCTCCATCAAAAGCGCCAAGGTCTTCAGCCTGGACGTGCCGGACCACCCGACCCCCACGGGACTGGCCAAGGGCGACTCCAAGTACATTGAGAAAGGCAGTCCCCTCAACAGCCCGCTCGACCGGCTTCCCCTGGTGCCCACGGGCAGCAGCGGTAGCAGCGGTGGGGGGGGCGGCATTCACCACCTGGAGGTGAAGCCGGCCTACCACTGCAGCGAGCACCGGCACAGCTTCCCAGCTCTCTATTACGAGGAGGGCACCGACAGCCTGAGCCAGCGCGTGTCCTTCCTTAAGCCACTGACCCGCTCCAAGCGTGACTCCACCTATTCGCAGCTCTCCCCCAGACATTACTACTCCGGGTACTCGTCCAGCCCTGAGTACTCGTCCGAGAGCACACATAAGATCTGGGAGCGCTTCCGGCCCTACAAGAAGCACCATCGTGAGGAGATGTACATGGCTGCTGGCCATGCCCTGCGCAAGAAGGTCCAGTTTGCCAAGGATGAGGACCTGCATGACATCCTTGATTACTGGAAGGGGGTCTCAGCCCAGCAGAAGCTGTGACCCTTTTCTCCCCCACCGGTGAGGTGACGGGGAGGGCAGGGGCACTCGGGGGGGGGAGGTCCCCCCCCTCAGGGTGGCTGGGAGGCGGGGAACAAGGCCAAGGGGCCCAGGCTGAGGGTCCTGGGGCCTAGGAGTGGACGCACATGCACACCGGCACGCACGCACCCACACACACACTTGACCACCACCTGACTGTGAAGCAACCAACACCCAACAATAACGGACAGGAAAACAAGCATTTTCCTTAAAGTTTACAACCTGCTACCGAAACCAGTTGTCTCTACTGTGCTGCCCAAGGGACTCGCTGGGCTGGGGAAAGGGGCCAGAGAGGGCGCGGGGCCTGGGACTCAGGAGGGTTTGGTGGCAAGAGAGATTGGAGTAGAAGCAAACGGTGGCCCTCTTGTTCAGGGAGGGTATCCTCCAAGCTGGGGGGATGTTCCCCTTGAAGACTTAACAACATGTGGACATTGGGCATCCTCTCCTCCCACCTTATCGATGGCCCAGAGAGAGGAAAAGAAGCCCCAGGGGTTTCACCCAACAGGTTACAGCTGTTTCCCAGCTTCCTAGCCCAGTGCTGGCCCCGCCTCCGGCTGCTCCTCTGGACCCCACTCCCTCCACCCACCACCCCTTCCAAAGTTGTAGTCTCAGGGGTCTAGGGACTGAAGCAGGCAGGTGCTTTTCTTCTCTAGAAAGTCATGGGCACCCACAAGGTGAAAGGCTAATGTTCCTAGCCCTGGGTGACCGGGAGTGAGGAATGTCCTGCTGACTGACCAGAGAGAAGAGGCAAAGGGCGCCACCAGCCCCCTTCAAGTGTCTTCCAAGTAGTCCCAGGGAGCTGCCTGGGGGGTGGGGGGGTGGGCGGACCTGCTCCCCACTGGTCTCTCAGGTCCCCGTGCCACAGCCCCTGGTTTCTCTGGGTCTCCGGGACCCCTACCCACCGTAGAGAGACAACAGCAAATGTCAAGGCCTGGGGCCAGTAGAGAGGTGATGCAGAATGGGGGGCTCCCCCCATGCCCCCACTTGCCTGGCCCCTGCTGGGTGCAGCATCTGCCTGGGAGGGCAGCATATGCCTCACCCCACCCTGTCTCACCCCCTTGGCTAGAGGGGCTCCCATGTTTCCACGGACATGGCCACAGTCCTCTCTCTGACCCGCTCCCGACACCACTCAAAGCACAAACAGTGAGGTGCCCCTTAATGCCCTGGTCAAGGAGCAGGCTGGGTTCCTGGCCCCTCCCCTTTTCTAGTTAGTTTGTTGCCATGGCAACCCAGTGCCTGGCAGTTGGTGCCCAGAACGACCAACTGACCAACCGTTGGGCTCTGGAGTTCTCTCAGTGTGGGTGGCAGCAGAAGGTGGTAAAGGAGGCCTGGCTAGGCAGCAGCTTTCTCAAGAGCCAGGAGCTTCCTGGACAAGCTCTGGAGGCCATCCTGGAGTCCTCAGAGTAGGCTAAGGCATTGTCCTTTGTCTCTGAGTGGGAAGTGGGCCTATGGGGCATTGGGATAGCTGTACTGGGCAGGTCTGCCCCCAGCCCGTGGGCCCTTTGACTTCACATTTGAGATATGGAGGAGCCTTCTCGGTTCTACCCCACCCCTTCCAGAGACCCCCTCATTCCTGTCGCTCTTTCAGCCTTCTTGAGATGGGAAAGTGTGACTCTGGAATGAAGGTGTGGATGGGGGTGGCATCTCACTTGACCTGTGAGGGCTCTGACTGGAAAAGCTCGGACTCTTCTTGGGGGCGGGGTACAGGGAAGGGATAGGGAGACTTGACAACGTCTCTTATCACATTGACTTTGGGGTGGGCTGAGCCCAGGGCTCACTCAGGGGTGACATTTGCAAAAAAAAACAAAAACAAAACAAAAAACAAAAGAACAACAACAAAACAAAAACAAAAAGACTGTTCCGGGCAGAGGATGAGACTGGCCAGCTTGGATGTGAAGAGCAGAGCTCCCCCAGCCACAGACCTGCCCTCACCCCACCCTACACCTACCATCCCGAGGACAGCAGGCAGGCCGAGAGGCCGGGGGCGCGAGCAAGCAGACCCCTGTTATCTTTGCATGATGATTTTACTGTATTTTTTCTGAACAAACATCTGTCGTGTATGTGCCAGTTTGTCCAGACTCCCCTCCTTGCCCCCAGCCCCTCCGTGTGATCCGAGCAGCTCTTGAAACCCAGGGAGGACCACTCTGCAGAAGATTCAAAACAGGTGCCACCAACACAGCCCTGCCCTGTACCCTCCTCCCTTCTCTCTGGGCCTTTGGGCCCACAAGCGCTGCCTGCCCCTCCTCCATCTTTAACCACCACCTTCCCCATCTCTGTCCCGTAGCTTGTCCCTGCTTGTCCTTTTCCCTCCTCTCCACCGGGGAAGGCAGTCTCAGAAGAGTGTTCTCAAGGCCATGTTCTTGGGGAAGGATCTTCATCAACATGCTCCCATTTGGAAATGAAACTGGGGGCCCTGGGGATGGGATGCTCCGGGAGGGCTGTCTTACTGAGTAAAGAAGGCCAAGAGCTTGCAGCCTCGCCAATGGTGTGGCACAGCCTCATGGAGAGGCTTGGAGCCCTACAGGAGGAAAATGGGCCTTGTCATGCGCAGGGAAAGTTCCCACAGTGGGCTGGGCTCTGTCCCCACTTTTTGGCCGTCATTCCTGGTTGAATATGACTTAAAAAACCCTAAATGCAGTCTGTGCCTCACGCCTTTAGTTCCAGCACTTGGGGGGCGCGGAGGCAGGCGGATCTCTGTGAGTTCAAAGCCAGCCTGGTCTACAGACCAAGTTCTAGAACAGCCATGGTCATACCGAGATACCCTGTCACAAAAAAAAAATAAAATAAAATAAAACAAAAAAACCAAACCTCAGATGCCAGTTTAGGGGGACATAGAGAGGGTTCATTTTAACAGTGGGACCTGGGCCACAGGGATCTTTGAGATAGAGCAAGGGTCCAAGGCATGGGCACCTCCACTGGGCCGGCCTCCCAGCTCTCCTGGCCAGTCCTCCATGGTAGGCCCTTGGAGTTTCCCTGTGGCATGTCCTATGTGCTATATAGGAAGCCTTGTTCCTGGGCAGAATTGAAATATTCGCAAAACAATAAATGGATACTTAGTCTGTGTAGCCAAGTGAAGCCCCTGGCTTTAAAATAGCAATGGGGTCTGAGCTGAGGCTTGGGGTTGGGGTAGGGGGAGGCCATGATTAGGGGCACAGCGGGAGGAGGCACCTTAATAGAGTCACGTGGGGGATATGCGGGTAGAAGGTCACAACTGGGCTTCCCTCTCCTGGTAGAGAACAGTCCATGAAGCCTCCTTTGTGGGAGCATGTGTCGTTCTCGAAACAAGCTTAGGTTGGATATTGAAAGAGGCTCAGTCTTAGCAGTTTTCAGGGAGCCTAGACCAGCTTCTGGCTTCTGAGGAGGGGCCCTTCTGTCACCAAAGGCCCTTCAGCTCTGGACTCCCTCTTGAGCACAGAGCTGGAAGCTCTGGGCAACCTAGGCAGGGCTGGAGAACCCGTCTTAGGGAGGTGGTCTGGGAAAACCCACTGAGGAAGACTGACAGTACAGGGGAGGCAGCCAGTGATGATGGTGATGTCTGGGGCAGGCCCACATTCCGCCCCACCCCCACCCCCGCCATGTTCCTGACTAGAAGTTGCGTGTGCCCACAATCCAGAGAATTTAAGGAGTTGAAGTAGGCAGAAGCCCAGGGGAAAGAAAAACTTCAAGATAGTCCCAGAGGGGAACAGACAAGGACAGAGGCGACAGCCCTCCCAACCTCCCAGTTCCTGAGGGACCAAAACTCCGGGGAAGAAGATGGAGGCGTCCTAGCAGTGACAGGCTCTGGCAGAGAGTGAACAAGGTGATGGGGGCTACGGGCCAGGCAGACTCCCCTCCCTTCAAGAAAGCAGGCAGCAGAGCTCTGTGTGGCAAGAAGTGTCAATGCTTTGAAAATGAACCAGTGGGGGAGAAGTGTTGGACCCGCTGGCTAGTCCCCTAAGCCTCTTCTCTGGCCACCCCATCGCTCTGCCCCAGCAGGTCCTGACGTGGCTGGGAGCCTCTCCTCCGGGGTGTGGATGGGTAGGGAAAGGAAAAGGGGGTTTGAGGTGTCTAGCTACCTGTGGGATGACCTCACTCAAACACCCTTGATGTTCGTCACTCTCGACAAGGCTTGCTCTCCGGGATACCCTCAGCCCCAGGACAGGGGACTTTCCCCCAGTCACCATGCTCATGTCACACGCTGATACCTTCCATGACCAAATCCACCTCTGAGAACCAGTATCTTCCCCCCCCACTAGCCTCAGTGGCCCCCTAGATGCCAGCCGCCCTTGCTGAGCAGCAGGGAGAATAGAGGTGTCCACAGAGGTGGCCTCGTTCTCTTCCCCTCCTCTTCCGCCAGTCAAGCACAGGGCTGGGGCAGAGGCCTGGGCAGTGGTAGACACCTCTTCTCCCTGCTCCCCACAACTTCCCCCACCTCCTCAGGAGCTGCCAGCCCCCAGGGGCGTGGCTGCCTGGCACCTGGTTTGAGCCCTGCGGGAGCTGGGCTTGGGTCCCTGGACTCTGAAGAACCTCTGACCCTCGCTGTGTATGGAACTTGCCTCCTCCTCGGGGGTGGGGGGCTTGGACCCTCTCCTTTTCTTCTTTTAGGGGGTAACTTCATTTATTTCTCTTCCCTCCATTTGCCTCTCCCTCCAACTTTCCTGTTTTAAACCGAATGGCACGAAATCGTTTTCCTCACCTTGGAGATTCCTGTATGGAGAGAATCAATTTCTATATTTGCAATAAATTTCTTATTTAAAACAACAGGGCCGAGGTTTCCATTGACTGCATCTCTGGCGTCTCCAGTTCCCGTTGTCTCTTTCTCATCTCTTCTTTTCCTGGCTAACAGAGCTGAATGGGTAGTATCACCACTGGGTGCCTTGCAGGGAGGTTCGGAGGTACTGTTGGCTCCCAGCACGCCACCCTGTCACAAGAATAGGGAAGCCACTCGGCCCCGTGACCTGGTGTCTTTATCTGTGGTTCTGACCTTCCTCATCCCAAGACGCACACCCTGGGCAGCTGCTCAGGAGAAAAATTTCCTTAGGCGGTGGTCATGGAGCCTAATTTTTTTTCCAGGCCACTTACCCCGCTCCTGTCAGGATGAGGCCCCTAGGCCGCTTCTGCCCCTAGGTGCCCTGACTTGGGCACCCATCGTTGGGCTCTGATCATTCCTATTCTGTGTCCTTTACCA